CGTGGTAGAACACAGATTCAAAGACAACCCTCTCTACTCGCAGTTGGTTCTCAATATATTCCGGGTGGGATTAACTTTCATTTTCATCAAGTGGAGACGACATGTGAAGGTAACACTACTACAAAACGCGTAAATAATAATGTCATGGTCACCACGATTCTTCCCTACACAACGGTGACATCTCTAAACTAAGGGGTTATCGTATTATTTTTGTTTTTTGATTAAAAATTAATTGTATATAACAACGATTGTGGAGCCAACTATGGTGTCACCATCAAGCTTTCATGGGTTCAAACCTCAACGCTCTCATATATATTATTCATTTAATGTTAAGGTGCGTCTTTTCTTGTTTATGTATTTTTAAATAAAAAAAGGCTTATGACTATAGGTTATGTGTTCTACCATTGTGACACATTTATATATATCACCACGGTTGGTGTTATAAACCATTGTGAGTATATTTATATATATAAGTGAATTAACACTCACTCTTTGAGATTAACGTTGTATCTTTCATAACAAAACCTTAGAACCCATTTTTCTCTTCTTCTTCATCATCATTAGCATTCTTATTCTACATTATAGCCGTCAATCTTGTTCTTCTTACATAAAAGTATTCTTTTTTTTTTCTTATTCTCTCGTTTTCGTGTATGTTGTTGTTATGTTCCATATGATTTATTATTCTTTTTTGGTTGTCTGTTGTTCTATGTTGTTGTTTCATGTTGTGTTGTTGACAAATAAGCCCGCGGTTTCACATATTGATAATATTCATGGTGTTTGTAGGAGTCAAGAAACAACAACATCAACAAACTTTATCTAGTTTGAGAAGCTATGAGAAGCAATATAAGAAGTATGAAGCTATTGTATAAACTTCATCTACCTTATATTTCTTTTTCATAGATTCACAAACTAGATGAACCTCAAATGGTGATGATGATGATGGTGGTAGAAAGCGTATAATATGAGTTGATAGAGTACATATGGTTTGTGTAGTAATGGAAAAAATTACAAGAAGTATGAAGTCATTGTGGAAACTTCATCCACCTTGTATTTCTTTTTCATTGCTTCACAAACTAGATGAACTTCATAGGTCCACGATTATTTTCAATAAAAGGTATGTTCTATAAATAACTTAATATATTTTACGATATTGTATGTTGTTAGTGTTTTGTTGCTAAAATGTATGTTGTTTTTATTGTGTTACATGTATTTGTTGTGTTTTTGTATGATATTTTTGTTGACAAATATTCTCAAAACAAGAACAAAATATTTCTAACTCATAAGAAAAAGGTTTCTTCTGACTTATCAATATTTTGTTCTTTAAATTCTTATACAGATTGACATGTCAAGATGAAGTATAGTTTATTATATACTGTGTATATTGTTTGTTTCACTAACCTTTTAATGAAAATGCAACCATTTAAAATCATATAGAAATTATAATCTGAATATTAAGATGTATTTGAAAACCAACCTATATCAATCATTGTATTCTGAATTACACGCGTCTCAATCAACATATTTTATGTTCTTTAACACATAATATATAGTTTAATGGTAGGATTCCTATAATACATCGATATCTATTATTCTACTTTACCTCGTCATCATCACTTATCATCGTGATTGTTAAGATTATGATTGTTATGATTATAAGTCATCATAACAATCATGATGATAAGCAACGATGATGAGGTAAACAATAATAAAGGATATTGATACATTGAATGAATTCGACCATTGGACCATATATATGTTAAAGAACATAAAATGTGTTGAATGAGACGCGTGCAATTCTGAATACAATGGTGTGTTTAAATTGGTTTTCAAGAATAGTTTAATTTTTAGATTTTATAATTCTTTATCAATTTTACTGGTTGTATTTCTTTAATGAGGTGTATGGTAAAACAAGCAATACACATTTGTATTTAATAAACTATGGGTACGTTCCACAACGGTTTTTTATATTAACTGTGATCTAATGTAATTTATTTACTACTGAGTTTCGAACCAAGTATCTTATATATGACAATGGTTAATAAACATAATCATTGCGATAAACTGTGAGCTTACCGGTATACTACAACGGTCCCATGACCGTGATTGTTAGTAGCTAATTTACAATAACACTCTATACAACAATGTCTAGTCCTGCGTGATTATATGTATTTACCAACCGTTGTTAAATGGGTTTTTCGTAGTAGTGTAAGATAAAGTTCACCAAGTTTGAGCTGAAGACGGATGACAATTTAAAGATTATGTGGAGTAATTTTCAGATGATACTCTATTAAGGGTCTGATTGAAGTGGATGTGAAGTTTTAAAGATTGAGAGAAGGTGTTATCAAAATGTTGTGACGTCCTTAATTACCCGTTTATAACAATATATAATGTTAAATTTATGTTCAACTATCTATGTAATTTCGACTATTTATGTTAAATCTATGTTAAGTTAGTTTGGTTTCAAGGGTTTTGATTCATTCACTACTTTTTCATATTTTGGATATACATATCCAAAATTAAGCGTGGTGTCTTCGGATATACATAGCCAGATTTATTTGGTAAAAAATGGAATTTGGTTCGTTTGGATATGCATATCCGAATTTAGGGGGTATTAAGGGAATTTCTCCAGGAGCCTCTAAGAAGGTACAAGGGTGAATAAAGAAACCCCCTTTGATAATTGTTTTTGGCTGCCCAATAATCCAATAAGACTGACCCAATACAACAATTTAATTCATTCAGACAAAACTTACACTAATTGACATACAAATGGACACCTACTTTGGAGTATCACAAGCTCATATTTTGTGTTTCGAAATTGTTTACTCTTGTCACCGACCATAAAAGGTTATAAATCACTTGATTTCTTGCTCCATATTTCACCTTGATTGAAGGAATCCGACCGCACGTGGGAGACATGCAAAGTACTGTGGCAGTAAAAGGCTAGTCGGTAGCGGTAGTTACAACAGGTTGATCTGTCACCACCTTTGTTAATGTTAAGATTAGGAGAGGCGAGGGGTCTTGGAAAAAACAAAAATTGTCACGGTTGTCTTACACTCACAGAGACTCTTGATGGACGCCATAGATTATGCAAAAAAGAGCCAATAATTATTAAATATCCAAGAAATACCAAAACAAGTATAAATCAAATATCCTCTACTTACTAAAAAGGTCTCTCCTCAACATTGTCAACATCCAAAATGACCCAAGGGTTGATGACTTGTCTCTTCTTCTTGGTAAGCCAACTCTCTATGACCCTTGCCCTCCTAAAAACCTAGGATTTTCCAGAAGGTCAGTAGGTCTTTCATTGTCAAAATTTCTTATGGAGTTAGTTTGTCATCAGAGAGGACATAGTTAAATTGAGTCATGGTTGATATGGTCCTAAGAACCACACTAATTAATTTTCCCCCTGCACTTGGAAGATGAGGAGGCTAAGGCACCTATCACTTTTGTTTGATCTTGTAGGTTGAATGTCTTGGTTCTACAGAGAGAAGGTGGATCTTAGATAGTGGATGCTCAAGGCATATGACGGGTGACATTTCCCTTTTCATCGACTTTGAGCCGAAGAAGAAGGGTTTTGTTTCCTATGGAGACAACAACAAAGGTTCAATACTTGTAAAAGATAGTGTAGATAATCCCTCATCTACGACTATTTATAATGTTATGTTAGATGAAGGTCTTAAACATAATCTTCTTAGCATTAGTCAACTATGCGATAAAGGCTTTGAAGTATATCTTTTACAAACACTTGTTGCATGATTGTACGTAATGAGAATAAGGATTACATGTTTAATGGCGTGAGGGTAAACAACATTTATATGCTTGACTTGAATGATATATCTTTAACAAACACTAAGTGTCTAGTTACCTTGAGTGAAGACTCTTAGTTATGGCATAGACGCTTAGCTCATGTCAACTTTGATTTACTAAACAAAGTGGTTTTAGAAGATCTAGTAATTAGTCTACCTAAAATAAATTATTCAAATGACTGCTTATGTGATGCATGCCAAATGGGCAAGCAAACAAGAGTCTCATTTAAATCTAAAAATGTTGTATCAACTCCAAGACCTCTTGAGCTTCTCCATATGGATATCTTTGGTCCCTCAAAGAATAAAATCCTATGTGGTAACTACTACAATTTTATTATTGTAAACGATTACTATAGGTTTTGTTGGACCATCTTTTTACATAGTAAAGATGAGACTTTTTTGGCTTTCACACATTTTGCCAAGCTATTCTAAAACAAGTTGAATTCAAATATAATTGCTATTCGAAGCGATCATGGAGGTGAATTTGAAAACCACCTCTTTGAGGAATATTGTGATAAATATGGCATTGAACATAACTTTTTTGCTCTAAGGACTCCACAACAAAACAACATTGTGGAGCGTAAAAACTGTATTTTAGAGGAGTTGGCAAGAATTATGCTTAATGATATTTGTCCACCTAAGTATTTTTGGGATGATGCTATTGGTTCGAATTGGACGACATTTTTTATCCGGGATTGTTTTTACGCTGTTCATAGTTAACAAAAGTTTTAAAACTAATTTTTATAAAAAAATTTAACTTGGTATCTTTTCACCCCCATTTAGATAAGTTGCCTTCGTCTAACATAGTGGGCTTCTAATGTCAGAGGAGTCATTAGAATAAAGTGGTCTTTCGAACTCTTTCAAATGTCCATGTAAACGCCAAATATCCTAATTGATTGGCGAAGCAAAAACACTCCATGCCCACAAAAAAACTCCTTGGAAGTGCGGGCTGCTGAGAATAAATTAAAGAAGATGTCAAGGGATACCACTTTCTCCAGGTACTCGCACCAATACTAAAACACCTTGGCAAAATCGACTAAGAAGTAACAATGTTCAAGCGGTTCAACAACTCCTTTGCGAACCCATTGAAGGGCAACCTAAGCTTCAACCAAGTGAAGAGGTACTCGTAGAAGGAACAAAGTATTTATCAAAAGAACTACAAATCCTCTTGCCGTTATCAATATGTGAGACATATCAATCAAAAGAAGGGTCCACTTCTATTTGAGCCTCATCCACCTTCTCTACACTGTCAAAAGAAAAAAATTTGTCCACCAACTCAAGATCTACGTAATGGTAGAACCCAACATCTTGCGGCGACACCAAATCTACATGTCCTTGCTTTACATTTTTACTGGTTGTCGTGTAAAAGATAATATCAGTAAAAAAAACCTATGGTTATTCCAAAAGGTAAGATGGTGCCTAATTTCTATGTCACTAAAGTCCCGACCACACGCCTCCCTAAAAGAATCAATGTACAAGAGAGTTATTAGTTTATCTTGGGTCGTTATGGCTGTGTCCAATTCATTGTAGCATTAGAGGTAAGAAACAAGGCGCTAAATTACTTCTATATAAGTTAGAGTACACGAGTTCTCCTCTTCATCCCCTTCAAAAGAATTAAGAGGATAATCTTCACTTTCAATAGAACCTCATCGATGCCCAGAAATATCTTTCAATACAGGATCACAATCAGATGTACCCGACCCAATTATTTGAAAGACTTCTCATGCACCTTGTCATAACAAGCTTTGTGTCGGCCTCAGACCCAACGCAAGAAAAACCCAATTTTGCTCACTACCTAAATACCACTGCTTGAGTAGAAAAATGTATGATTTCAATCCATATCTCACTCTGACCCTTTATTCAAAATTAACTCGTACTTTGAAGTATTAACTTTGTAGGTCCAGTCTACACATCAGTACTAGAGCAATTTATGCCACTGCATATTTGCACTAACAATTTTGATTTCATAACTCTTTAAAAAAGAAAATCAATTTCATAAACAATAAAAAATACAAAAATTGCAATTAAAAATATTTTAATGTATTTGATATGCCTTTTTCTACATTAATTTGTAAAATTATAATTATGATATCAACATATTTTAACACAATACTTTATTAGTTGAAATTCATATAAATTTTATTAACTTTATGTGTGGTCTATATAATTTAGTAAAGAATCTATTTAAAAATTTCAATTAATAGAAGAGCGGGTTAGAAATAGTAACTTGTTAACAGTTTTTTAATCGTTTTTAATTATATTTATAAAAGTCTATGTAGTGATTAGGGGGTGTTCAAATTCAAACGAATCTAAATAAAAAATTAAAAATCGATTTAAAAAATCGAAAATCACAAAAAAATGAAATTTATTGAATCTGTTTAGATGTCATTTTATAAAAATTGATCGGTTCGAATCGGATTTCGAATGAATTTTTCAAAACCGATCAAAACGAAACCGAACTGCATACATATATTTTTATACTTATTTACTTTTTATTAGTATGATATGTTATGTGAATTTATTATTAGATGTTAATAATCTTTTTAATAATATTTATTAATTTGATATAATCTATTTATTTTATTATTTCAACCATAATCGATCACTCTCATTTTGTAATATTAACTTTTAATATATTATATGTTATATATTATATCAAATCTATAATTTATTAGTAGTTTTATAATATTAATAAAATATAATATGTAATTTGGATATCTAAAAACCGATTCAAATTAAATCGCATAAAATTTGATCGAATCAGATTGAATTTTTTTTAATATGTCATTTAAAACTAAACTGAACCGCATGTGAATTTATCTTTAGATCGGATGAATTTTCGCTTTAAAACCAATCCAAACCGAACCCTTAGTAATGATGTATGATTGGATGTATCTGGATTTATTAAATTATTAATAGTGCATACAACCAAAATATATAAAATATAAAGTTGCGAAAGGTTCGTTAAAAATAAACGAGAACAAGTCGCTTCAAAGAGTACAATTTCATCTTTAATTTTCGCCCATTCTTTTTAGAGTTCTTCACCATTTGTCTCACGTAAATTACTCGTACCATATCGAATATACTTTTTAAGAGTTTGCCATGATGTTGAGCTTTTAAGAGGAAGATACCACATGCTCCATGATGTTGATGAATAACTGTAACATTTGGCCCCAAAGAATAGTTCCTTTAGGACCATATAGTATTGGGTGATATCTCACAAATGTGAAAGCATTACAGTTTTATACAAAGTAGAACATGTTCGAGTAGGAGAAACAAATAATACAGCAGAATCAGATTCTGGAATCTGAACACAAAAAGTGTAGGGTTGAATGTATCAGTGAGAAAAACAGATACTACTACAACTGAATGAGATTCTTAAAACAATATGTGGCAAGAAGGAACCAACCAATTAGAAGCGAAGTGAATAAGAACCAAAATTTGAAGAAAGTGAAGCCTCCGAATGTGAGTCCAAGAAAAAAAACAAGCAGAAATGGTAAAATGGTTCGCAGCATAGATGTTTTGTTGACCCAGCGGCCGCTGAGTAAAATGAAAATTGCAAGGTTCACCACATTCCATCTGCTAGACAGGTAGGTGAGCCTGTTCAAGTTATGGGCAACAAAGGAGTGGCAGTTGCATGTAAAGAGACTGTAGGATCGGTGTTGGAATTCTTGAGTGCTTTTCAGTAGAGCATCGTCCCAGGTCCTCAACTCGCCTAAAGGGATGCAACACTGCTAGCAATTGAAGAGAAATAATAATGGAAATGGAACAGAAAAAAGGTGGCGTCTAAAACAAACAAAGTATAACAGTTTTATCAATGAATAGAAGAAACAAACCTTATCTTTAGGGATTTGGACATATCGAGTAGCGGCTCCGAATGCGAAATTATCAACGCAAACAAAATTAGGGCCTGCAAAATCCAAAATGACTCCATCTTCTCTACAGATTCCAATGTGGCCGATAAAAGGAATGAACCAAGAAATGACGGGAAGTGGCGACCACACGATGGAGCACGGGAATCGAGACCTTCTAGGATCGATTTGCATAGTCCGTGAAAAACCAGTCTCCATCATATGGAGCTGCTCTGGATCCAAATCTGACTCTGTTTTTTCCATTGGGAAAATTCGGACAACACTCACTTTGCTAATGGATAATAATGATAAATTAGAAAGCAAGAGAAGAAACCCTAATTACAGGAGAAAGATCGAATGGAGTTACCTGGTGAGGCTGAAGCAGAATGGAAAGTATCTAGTGGATCATTTCATGCCAGGATTTGGAAAGGGATTCAACTCTTACAACAAGCCCAAATCTTTGACATTTCAGCTTTTTCAGATATTCTTCTTTCTTTTAATATTTTATTTTTTTAATTTTAATTATTTATTTACACCTAACTTCATATCCATGTAGCGCCTACTCATAATACATATTTTTTGCAAGTGGGTAAATTGTCATTCCTAGTGAGAGGTTGAATGATGATGAGCTTCATGATGGTATGGAAATTAATGTTGATGAGAGGATCAATGATGTTATTGAGGTGTATGATGGGATAAATATTGATCAAAGTAATACAAGTGTGTTGAATGTTGATGTAAGTTTGATGACAGTGAGGATGAGAGTTATAATTATGTTAGTTATATGGAAATTGTTTTTGATGATTCTGATGAGAGTGAAGATTATGTTGAAGAATAAATTGGTAATTTAATTGACTATGAGAGAAATCAGGAGGAAACTAGCAAAAAAAGAAAAAGAAATGGGAAGAACACAATGAAAGGAATAACTGGGGTCAAGACATCTCCCTGTACGGAGGAGACAAGAGAAAATATAGTAGAAACTTTGAACATGTTATGGGTAAGCTCGGAAGTGAGATATTATCCTCGTCAGGGAGATTTTGAATGAAGGATAAGTATGAAGTTGAGACAATAATAGCATCTTCCTATGGAGTCTGAGCAAACCAAAAATAGAAGAAATCGGACACTTGCATAAAATGAGTTACCTCCATAGAAACATCTCCTTCAATAACACGATTATGTTTTGGAGAACCCTTGCCTCAGGGGAGATTTTTGTTCCTCATCTGAGCCCTATTTGTTGAAACTAGAGGTGAAGTTGATCCTCTCACTGATAAATTGGTCGCAGAGCCCACAAGTTGATCCATCTCAGGGACAAAAGCGAAAGGTTCTATAATCGGGGTAGGAGAAAGGGTCAAAATAAGAAGAGTAATCGCTAGAGGAGTGAGGGCAGAGACATAATTCCCAACATTAATTACAGTTTTGATATCTTCAACATTGTTAAGTATATGCAAAAACTTCAACTTGCTTACTTTGCCCATGCTATCTGCAAAACACATTCACGCATGCAAAAAAAACAAAGACTATGTCGTCACCAAAAATCTTTCTCCTCTCCTATTGGTTAATCGCACTCAAGATATTGTGAGTATCAATTTGTCTTTCCCTCACCTCGACAGGGGGGCCTTGAAAACAATATTGCATTTACTCCTTCATACTCACCTTGTCTAGAGAAAGAGAACCTGACTTGGTATAGTAGGAATGATCATTCTGGTTAAAATGGATCTTGGACCAGTACTTGGGATATAAAATCTGACAAAAACGATGAGAGTCAGCAGAGAGATAGGAGAAGATGATACGTGTCACGAGTGTGAGAGGCTTCATCAGTAAAAAAATGCCTTAAGAAATCACCCCAATCTAGAGCAAAAGAGTTGAACCAAAGATTGACCGAATGAAAGCAAATAGGCCCTTGATTACGGCAATTATCATGAGAAGTGTGTCTCAGATGAAATATTTCAAAGAAAAAATCTAAGAAAGAGCTTCTAGGATTTGTGTTCAGCACACAGTTGAAACACCCTTATGAATTCCATGATTCAGGATGAAGTTGCGAACGAGAAATTTTTAAATATTTCAGGACAACTACCTCAAATTCAAAAAAAGGAAACCGAAATTCCGTAAAAAATAATTCATAAAATGGGATCATGCAATTATCAAAAGAACTGCATGTCCTCTTTTTCGGTCCCACTAGGAGAGCTAACCACTCCAAGGGATTGCCATCCATAATGTCGGGCACATCTATAGTCACCTCGGGGTTTAAGGCTGACAAAATATCCATTATCTTTGAATCCATTCAGATGTACCCAACCATATCTAATTGGGCTCGAAGATCTAAATGAGCCTTCACTTAAGTGTTGTTAAATCTGTAATTATCGATCCTTAGACGAAGCCTAATATAACTCTTAACGTGTTCTCTCATCTTCCAATTGGCTTGTACCTCTTCTTCCGGAAAGACGCGAGGGGGCATATGAGCATCAGTGCGGTCCATTCCTCTGCCAACATTTTATATAAGGGCTAAAGAACCAGAAGAAGTTTATTCTCCCAAGGAATTCCCAAACACCCTTTCTGATTTAGAATCGTCAGATATGAGTATAATTTTTGGTGCTAAGTGATCACTGTTGTACCCCAAAATTTGCCCTCCCATTTCCTCAACATTTTCTCATCACAAGACCCTCGAAACTCAAGTTCCAGTTAGGGTTTCCTATGCTCAAGACTTCTCCTTGCACTGTTGACCCAAATTAGGGTTTGTGTTTGCACAAAGATATTTTGACCTAAAATGCCCAAGATGACTTTCATGCTTCATGTTGGACTCCCAAGTTTATCCATACCAAGTTTTAAGTCTTGATTCCAAATTTTGCCCAGTCAATTGGACAGTTGACCTAGAAATCAACTGTATTGGGGAAAAAGTCAACTGTGGCCAATTGACAGTCAAATCTCATGAAAATTGACCCACATCAACATTATGAACTCACATGGACCATTTGACCAAGTTTGGATCACAATTCCACAAGAAATTTGACCAGATCACCAAAAGGGCAAAATGGTCATTTTTAGGGTTTTGACTGCACAAAGGCAATTTTTGACTGTTTGACCTAGGCAATGGCAAACCAAGCTCACATATGGACTCAAGGACCCCATGGATTTGTCTTGACATACTCAACAAGTTCAAAAGATCCCAAATGCACAAGATTGACAGTTGAATTTCCCAGTCAATTGATCAATTTTGATTGTGTACTGAAAAGTCAAACTTTGACTTTTTGGTCAAAATCAAGTGTCAAGATTCATTTTTCATCAAAACATGCCAAATCATGAAACTTGTTCATCAAGAAATCAAGAATTGCAAATTAGGGTTTGAAATGAAGATTTTTCATAACTTATAATTTTTCTAAGTTATGAAAAACCCTAATTTTTTTCTAACTTTGTCCCACTTTCTCACAAAGATTCATTTGGATTCAAGCAAAAGTCAAAACATGAAAGTTGTAGTTCATTGCAAAATCTAAAACTTTGATTCACAAAGTTTTCCCAAAAGAAGCTTGTAGCTCAAGTTACAATTTTTGGAACAAGGGTACCAAACCATTCTTAACTTAGAGAAATTTTGAACCATTTTAGGCAGGATTTTTGCCTAACTTCAAGACCATTTTCACATACTTCCACTTAGAATTTCAAATTTCATTTCAAAGATGTATTGTAGTACACATTCCAAGCTTTCCAAAATGTCCAAGAACTCATCAAACAACCTCATGGTTAGGGAGAATCAAATTTGGCAAGTTGGGAAAAACTCACATTTGATTTGGCCAATTTACATGTTCATACATTTGTGCCATTTTGAATTCAGCTTGCTTTCCTTGATTACAGGTCCTATATCCCATTTGCACTCAATAATTTAATGCTAACTCATTGTGCCAAGGCCTTATTTTGTGTGTTCAAACATTATATGCAAGATTAAGCCATTTTTAGATAAAGCATTTTTGCCATTTTAGAAAAGTTAAACTTTATGTCAAATGCAAATCCAAGCAAGTACAAGGCAGATCCTTTTGGCACAAGTTTATGGACTAATTACACTGATCAAGGCCAAGGTATGCAGCATAGATTGGGGGCATGTACAAGCTAGAAACACAAGTTGACATTTGTTGCTTAAAGTTGAAGAAACATAGCATAACAAGACACAACTCTCATTCCTGTGAACCAGAGCTTAAGCAAAGTTACCAAACACTTTCTAATCATCAAACCTAAGCTAAAACACGAGCCAACCATCTCCATTGCCTTCTCAAACATAGAATCACCCTCAAACTGTCCAAACAGGGTACCTGCTGCAGATTGAGTTCCATAACTCAATCCATTCATGCATTCTTGCTAAAACCACTTCAAACATATCCCACATCATCCCTTGAAACTATTCCAAGCCTCAAACACGACCTGTAACACTCCCAAGCAACATCACCATTTTCATTTTTTTGTTTTGCAGTTGAAGTTCCATAACACGATTCTCTTGGTTTCCAAACAAAGTAAAGCTTGGAATAGCATCTCTGGACATCAAGGAAGCTGTACCAATCATCACCTTGCATTGAAAACACCTCCATCATCAGATACGATTCCAACTGAACAGGTAAGTTCATGGACTTCTATCTCCCTATCCAGGCATTGTTAGCTCTAGGTTTGTGAATAAAAAATGTTCTACTCATGCCCCTGAAGTTGTACATATCTTTACTTTCCATTTATTTTGCATGTGCTATGAGAATTTAAGGTCTGAACATTGATGGAAACTTAGGTCAAGAATTAGGGATGGAGAAATTCTCTCTCATCTTAGAGAGTTAAGTCAAGTTCTTTATATGTCTGGATTCGTCTCTTAATGCTCTACATTTTTCATGTTGTGAGTTTTGCTTGAAAGTCCAGGAATCTGGAGATAGAAAACACGCGTTTTGTTCATGTTCAAACAGTCTGGAGGTTGAAGAAGGTCTTTTAGGCTGGGCTCTGTTTCATTTTTCTATTTGCACCCTTTTGTTACTTTTACACCCCCTAGGCCCATTATGCTTATTTTTATGATTTTTTTGACCTTTTCTTTTTTGTTCTGACTTATTTATTTTTTCTCATAATATTAAAAATATAAAAAATATTTTTCACACCATTTTTGAATTTATTAGGCATTTATTTGTTTAAAATAATGTTTGTACATAAATAATATATAGATATACTTTTATTCAAAATACTAAAAAATAATGCAAACACATTTATTTTCTGATTTTTATTTTATTTTATCTTCTGAAAATATTTTATATAAAATATAATTTTTTTATAAATATTAAATATTATTATTTTGTGCATATTCAATATATTTAATAAATAATACAAATACATACATATATATTAGTATATTTAGGTTAAAAAATACAAAATATATACATTTTTATTTTTATTAATATTTAGCATTAAAAATACCTTTTTGACAAATATACTTCTTTTTTTTTTTTGTACATAACTAATGAATATTGTATATATTAAACAATTAATACCTTTTATTTAATAAATTCGGGTTTTGCCCTAAATACATAAAAACTCCAAAAAAATAATACTTTTATTTTGTTTATTTGACATATAAAAAACACTTTTTTCATACATATAAAAAACATTTTTTTGCATCTTGCATATTTATTCCATTTTTATTTAATTGTTGTATATTAAATAATTTGTATAATTCTCAATTTGATGTAATAGTCCAGGTTTAAATTCCTTGTCAAAATACCCTCATTTGAACATTTGTATCCCCCTTCCCATATATTGTGTTGTAATAACCTATGAACTTTATTTTTCGCATTTTAATGCTTTCTAATTATGCCATGTTAGAATTAGGGTTTGTATGCAAATCAATTAACCAAAATAGTTTGACCTAATTTCAAGATAAACAAGCATGAAAATGGACAATACTAATCACACTTGCACCCCTAGGGTATTCCACTTGTTGCCTTCAATAATGGGCCATATTGCATGTTAGGTCTCTTTGGGCAAAACAAATACAATTCAAATGATCATAGTCCCTTGATGACGCTTTCGAAAGTTGCCTAAAAAATGATCAAGTCCCTCCAAGGAAAAATTGCCCAAAGATACTTGGCACCATTGCAATTATGGTCTAAACAATGACCCGCGCCCGTCCCTTTCACATCCTAACACAAGATTGTCCACCAAATGCAATGGTGGAACAAAATTGTTAAAAGGGTTAAAACATAGCAAAAATCTTTGAGAACTTTAGGGTAGATAGCTCTTGAGTACTTGTCAACTTGCAAAACAAAACATTTGCCTATTTTCCAAACCACACATCACTACACTTTCAAAACAAACTTTCAAAACATTGAAAACCTTTTCAAAAGACATACACCTTTGTATACATCCCAACATGGATCATTACAAAGGTTGCCACCACATTGGCCTCTTTTCAAAACATTTTCAAAACCCACACACACAAAGCACAATTTCAAACAATTGAAAACCAAGGCAAGTTGATCTAAGCAAGTAACTAAGAGCCCATGGAAAACCATGGATAGAAAGGGTGCTAATACTTTCCCTTTCTATAATCTACTCCCCGAACCCAAGAAAACATCTCAAAGGTTTTTGCTGTGCTTTTTAACCTTTCCTTAGGATAAAATAAAAAGTCGGTGGCGACTCTTGCTCAACCAAAACATTTGCGAAAACAAACGCAAAACCATAGTCAGTTCTCCCACCGTATCACAGAACTGGCGACTCTGTTGGGGATAATTTAAAAGTGGAGTAACCTTAGGGCTTAGATTACCCTCTTGCATGATTAATTGTTTGATTTGATTGCTTTATATCTTGGCTCTCTTGTTTGGGTTTGCAATCCTACACCCGGATTTTGGGAAACATTCATAGATAGCAATACGTTATGGAAACTGTGCGGGGTATACCGACACGGTCGAAGCAATAGCTATATTAGTGCGACATATTTGTGAGTACCGGTAACCCTTGAGTTCAATCAAGGAGAGTACAGGGCCGCTGAGTGATGTCACTAAGCACTAATGACCTAGAACCTTACTTGACCATCTTGGCCTTTTATTAGGGGTAGTGAGATGACCGGCTTTGGTGCAGTCCGAAGTTGGTAGATACTCGATACTACACTCATTGAGGGTTGTTTTCTTGGAATATTTTGGTCGCTAGTTAAGTGGCTAAACCAAAACAATGATCAATGAAAACAATCCAATGATATTGAGCTCCTTAGAACCCGGTTACTATTTATAGGACAGGTTTTTAAGCCAACTACACTCAAGAGGGTACTTACCTATGAAACCCCATGCAAGCCTGGAACTAGGGTTTGGTGTGAATTGCTTGTACATATGTTTGTGCATACATCATGAACATCATAAAGCACCATATGCATTTACTAACCACTTCAAGGGTTTAGATCTTCATCTTTGTTCTTGTTTTGTAGGTCATGGAAATTCCTCGCAGAAAAACCATCCAAGTTAACATTGTGAGAATCTCTCCTCAACTCAAGG